CTGAATGTAGTGTCTTCGTCTTGCTGGTCGACTTTCATCTCCATCTTCATGCGCCTGCAGTGGAAGTGAACCGGTTCCTCTCCCTGGCTCTGCCGAGGGGAAGAAACAATCAGTCATTTACAAATATATATGGAAACACAACCGTAAGCAGGGTTGTACAGTCAATAATAACACAACGCAGACAATTATTGGGCCACTACTTCCATTACAAGCTAGTTTTTGGCTCTAGGCAATCTCTGTTCACGTGTCATTAATCAAAATAAATGTATTCCTCTAAATATATGCATGTAATTAAACTTTCAACAACTTACTGTGGTGGCACAAAATATAATCAATTGTTATTATCATTTTTAACTGAGGGGGCAAAAGGCACAGGTGTAATCAATGCCTTTAATTAGGCCTAATGGCCGGTGGGGTGCACAACGGCAGGACTCTGCCCACCATGTAGTGGTCATGAGCAGGTAAAGGGTCAACGACAATCCCGGTCCAGGGACTGGAGGCTTGGACTACGGCCCCAGAGGGCCCACTGACCGGTCCTGCCCACCTTCACGCCGGCCGCCTCTGCTCCTGAACCGAGGCCTCGGTGTGTACTTCACGAGTCTGCGGAATTAACAGCACTCATTGGAGCCACCGCGTCTCAACACGACTAGAGGTAGACAGCCCGTGCTAGCACCGTTACCACCCGGAACGAATCAGAACCGTTGGAGCGTGTCAGTTTTTAATGTTTACTATGAATTATCGGTGTGTGAAGATGGGGGGAAAATGCGCATTTCTAAAGAGGGAGGGAGCGGGAAGTGTTTCTCCACCTCCAGATACTAGGGTTAGTTAGCCTTCAGCCGTGTTGACACCACTTTAAAATGCTAACGGCTGCGCTAAGCTAGCCAGTTGGTCTCGGTGTGTGTCGCGAGGCGTGTCCGCGAGCTAGCGTCCACGTTGCGACCGCATAACGTCCAGTAACGGCGGACCGAGCAGGCTGGCCCCCGGTAATGGCGGTGGCGGCAAGGTCCTCTTTACTCACCCGCAGCTAGCCAAAAAAAACGGGCTAACCGACGTAACGGGACAATACGACGGTTACAAAAACGGGAGCCGCAGCAGAGCGCGTTCGCCACGGTCCTCAACCGTCCTCAACGGTCCTGAACGGTCGCGTCGCCGCGGATGAGTTCGATTCGACGACCGTCTCCCGGCGGTTTTTTCTAAAAACCCGGGTCGTCAAGCTAGCGCCGGCGGGCGGGGCTAACTCGTTAAATACGCCGAAAAGGATTGATATACCTGTAAAGCCCATGCAGAGCAATTGATCTCGCTCTCGGTGATTACCCGGGTGTTTTTTATTCCCTCAGTCGAGACTCGCAGGCAGCTTTAAGCTCCGGTTTGCCTGAAACACCGCCTCCTACGGACACTCCGCGCAGTCCAACCCACCACAACCACTGCGGGGTGAACGTGGGTTTTTTTATGTCCTGAGTTTAGACTGCCAGTGAGTCTCCTTCCATTTTAGACCCACCGCTGCATAGGTTTCACCCAATTATCAACACAGTTTGATTAAATGGTGCAAATACAACAACCCCATGTGACTTTTGAATTCAATACTTGTCTCTTTACACTGTTCTTGTTCAGTCCAAAACATCCAGACATAGAAGTGCTCAGTCAACCTATTGATAAATACATTTTTTTAGAGCCATGTAGAAAACTGAGTAATATTAACCATTAACGTTTCAATACAAAACGTGAGTGAATGTAAATTAACCCGTCCTGCTTTGGAGCTAGAAATATTAGATTTTAGTCATATTCTGCAGAAGAAATGAGGCTGTTTTGCAAGTCAGATTAAATATGGGAATTTCAAGTTTGATTGGTTTTTATTAGCAAATACATCAAATTCACTATTGAAGCAAAGAATAGTGACTTGTGTGCATTCCTCACAATGCGCAAAAAAGACAATGCAATACCACCAGGAGGAGGTTTAGACAGTGGATCCTTGACTTTTGGTCCAAAAACAATTGCAAATGTTTTCTCTGACATGAAAGGTAGAAAGTTACAGGTTGTGACTGATGTCAAGGGAACATTATTCCCAAAAAATCAGACAAACAAATATGACTCAAACCCGTCTAAATGTGCACCTGTGGATGCAGTTAGACGATGAACAACGACGGATTCCTGTAAAAATCTCAATGTTTGCATTCATATTTCAGATGGATTTTGAGTTTTGTGGATAAAAGGAAAGTGTTTTTTGGGAAACTACTCATTTTAAATACAGTTAATTAGTTTTTTTTTCTAATATTCAGCTGTTTGAGAACATGGTTAAATATCATCATATTTATATTTTTACTGCCAGCTGTCCAAAACTTTAATATCCAAGGAATATATTGCCTCAATATGTCTCAAAAGCATGTGGGGGGGGGGGGATAAAACACAATCTATGGCTCTTTTTGTACATCTCCAACAATAAAACAGTAGGCCATCACTGACAGATTTCTATTTGACAGAGATGGTGATGAGATATAAGGAACAAGGGATTGTCTGAATTTACATGGCTGGTTTGAATGGTCTGAAATAAACACAATTACTCATTTTTAACAGAAACAAAGTTTAACAGTGTAGTCCACAGGGCAGCTATAAAGGCCGAGTGTCCAGATTTTAACCGGAAAGTCACGTTTGTTTTGCCTGAGGACGTCACAGTGAAACGAGAAACTTATCTGTGGATTTAGAAACAATTCTTTTATTTTCTTCCTTGAATCTTGGATCTTTAAAATCGTCTATGTGCCACCTGACTCCCTGATACAAGAAATCCCAAATGAGTGAAATGAAGCCACATTTTCTGTATTTTTCTGCAGCATGAATGTGATCAAATGTCAAAGCCATGAGATCAGACTTCATAATCCGGACCTGGATCTGGATCTCCGTCTACTGCTGACCAGAGGCCCAGATCCTGGCCCTGTTTGAGGCGTTAAACATCCCTTTTCCTGGCAGTGTTATGTCACGCTCGCTACCTCTGATACAGCCTGGGATCTATTGCAAAATAAAGAGCTCTCTCTTCCCTCTCCTATACTCTGAGGTTACCATGGAGACAGATATAATTCAGTTCTTGATGTTTCTCATATAAAAAAAAAAAAGAAAAAAAAGCCTGCGTACATATTTTCATCTGCAGCCATAGCGACACTTGACTTTGTCCGCACTATTTGTAAAAAGCAAGTCACCATAGCGACACTAACCATCCAGACTGTGTCATAGATCATGTGTCCTATCTGCCTCATCATCATGAGCCAAATGAAAGAAATCCACTTGTAAACAGGATTTATTTGATCATTTTTGGTCACACAATCCTCTTAAATCTCAGCACTGAAAAGCAGAACAGAAATTTTTCATTTACTTGTCTCAATTCCTGACATTTAAATATAAATTTAAACTATATTAAGCAGTTATATCTATAAATATGACAAATTAGAGTGCAAATTTGAGCCCTTATGTTTAAATGTGGATGTTAATGCTAAGTTGAACCCCACCCCGTTCATCTGAATGGGTTTGGCAGGTTCAGCCTTATTCTGACATTTCTCAAACTTGAACCCAAACGTGCCTCTGTTGTTTTTCTGTGATGATCTGCTCCAAAAGTAAAGGAAAAAACACTATAGGTTGTGTCAGTGTTCTGGCTCAGCTGTTGCTCCCTGATATTATGGGACTCGCTGGAAGTTCACAGACATAGTGGGCTACAGGTAATTATTTTTCAGAGATGCACCCCGGCTTGTGCGTCACCCGTACGTCACGCCGGGCCTAATGGGCAACCGTACAACACCGCTGTTGTGGAAAAAAACCCGCTTTCAGCCCCGTGCATGGCTTCAGAGCAACCACAACAAAAACACGTAAAGGGACTTTGCGTGGATTTGACCCCCCCAAAAAATAAATATAAATAAAAAAAAAAAAATTCAAAAAATTAAAATAAATAAAATGAATAAAGAAATAAAGAATTAAAAATAAAATAAATTATTAAAAAATAAAATAAAAAAAATAAAAAAAGGATTTGCACCCCCCAGAGGTCTACTGATGGGCAACTTCATAATTAAACTGCAGCCACTCGTGTCAAGTTTTCCTATCTTGGAAAAAAAAAGGCAAAAAACGAGCAACAATTCCTAA